GGAGTCTAATGGTGTCGGTTGCTCAGTGTTTGGCTGCTCCATATCTCTATCACACCGCTGATCTCTACGACGTGTACGTTGGAAGACACGGAAGGGAGTAAGGTCCGGAATAGAAGGAAGAGATACCTAGACTTGCTTCTCCTCTTCCACACTACTACTCTCCCCCTGAGGAGAAGCAGGGAAGAATGGCTCAAACTCAAAGCAGGGAGTCTGTATCAGCATCGCCCTTCTCCTACTAGGGTTTCCTTGGTATTACGACCAAGGAAAAAAACACAGGAAGTGCCGCCAGAAACTGCTAGGGTTTCCGCCAGTAACCTACTAGGGTTTCCACCAGAAATCTGCTAGGGTTTCCTCCAGTAACCTACTAGGGTTTCCCTGTCTTCCACGTCCAAGATTTTTAAGAAGGGAACCTTTCTCAAAACAGTAGGGATCGTAGGTCTTTTACAACCTAGAAAACCTGCTCTGATACCATGTAATGATTCATGGAGAGTGGGAGAGAAAGAGAGAGAGAGAGAGAGAGAAGAAAAAAAGGAGATACGATTGAGAGGAAAAAAAGATACTTTTGGCAGCCGCCAGTTTTCTATTTTTATCTACTTAATAAAAGAGAATAGAAATTACAAATATGCCCTTGGCGGCACACCCTAGAACCAAACTAATAAGAAAAAAAGACAAGTAACTAACTGACAGTATCTTAAGAAGTCAGCCTACTAACAGCAACTATAAAGTAACAATTAAATAAGCCTTACAACAATCAGCAACAACAAAAAATTATTAAACTAAATTAAAAGTACAACAATATACAGTTTTATGAATGATTCATGGAGAGTGGGAGAGAAAGAGAAAGAGAGAAAGAGAAGAAAAAAAGGAGATACGATTGAGAGGAAAAAAAGATACTTCTGGCAGCCGCCAGTTTTCTATTTATATTAACTTAATAAAAGAGAATAGAAATTACAAGTATGCCTCTGGCGGCACACCCTAGAACCAAACTAATAAGAAAAAAAGACAAGTAACTAACTGACAGTATCTTAAGAAGTTAGCCTACTAACAACAACTATAAAGTAACAATTAAATAAGCCTTACAACAATCAGCCACAACAAAAAATTATTAAACTAAATTAAAAGTACAACAATATACAGTTTTATGAATACAAAAAGGATCATAGCCCCCATTGTCGTGCCCTAATAACAATGTATTACAATACAACCCAAAATGTTTGGTTTCTATTGACCCCCTGGCTAACAGTTCAGCCAAACCCTTGACAGATTTAGTAACCCACTATACTTTGATTTGGAAATTCCTTGATAACTCATAACCATTTGAATCAGTGATTTAAAAGGTGCACCTAAGCGCACGGGCGAGGCACATTTCGAGGCATATGCTTTGCCTAGGATTAGGTGCAGCTCCTTTTAAAAGGCATGTGCCTGATGCACCTTGTGCCTCAGACCAGATGTGCACCTCTGTAATTGTGCACCTTTTGCCATATTTTTATCAGTGGCAACCCCAAAGAAGCTTATGTTAGGATCTTAAATTCTTAGCCCATACACAAAATATTGGTTTTGTAATTGTAATTATAGTTTCTTATCTTTGAAAAATTTATTGTACTAAAAGAACCCCATTTAATGCTAATATGGTTCATTCATCTTTTTAATACAATAAAATTTCAAAAGATAAAAACTATAATTACAATTACAAAACCAATATTTAATCTATAGGTTAAGAATTTAAGATCCTAAGATGTGCTTCTTTGGGGTTACCTCAAGGGGCTTGGTACAAAGTTGGCTTGTAGAATGAAGAATACATTAGCTATTTAGGCTGTGTTTGGTTTAAAAGAAAAGGTAGGGAAACTTGTRCCAGGTTTCCCTACCTTTCCCTTTCTTTCCCTACCTTTTCTTTCAAACTAAACACAGCCTTAAAGTAATGTGACTGGAAAAAAAATAAAGAGATCGACTATTTCACATGTTTGAATATGTTTTATATGTCATATTTGATTTTATTTTACGTTTTTACTTTGAATATATTTCATGTATTATGTTTATATATTTTAATTTGAGCCAATAGAATTTTTATGACATTTAGCTTAAAACTTGAGTTCGCATCTTCTAAGTTAATACTATTTTAATATTTTTAATTTATTTTGAATATTTTACATGTTTTGAATTTTTAAATTTTTTGTGCCTTGCTTCAGAAAAGGCGTCTTGCTGTGTGCCTTGTGTCTCAGGCACAAAAAGGTCCTTGCTCTTTTTTTGCTTGTTGTTCTTTCAAAAGACTAATTTGAATTTGTTGGGCAGATTTCTGTATGTYCAAATTGCATTCCCCTCGCTCAACAGCCAATTAATTACAACTTTTGAATCACCCTTTACAATTAACTTAGTCACCTTCAATTCCACAGCCTTTTGCACTCCATATATAACCTCCACAAATTCAGTTCTTATAGAATCCATATTCCCAATTGAGCCTGAAAACATAGCGGCTGCATTTGCATCCTCATTCCTGAAAACTCCTATTCTAGAACCTAGATGGCCCTAGTTTCCTATACTGCTAGCATCAAGATTTAACTTTAAAGCCCCTATACAGCTTAGTCCACTTACTAATATTCTTCATATTC